ATAAGTGTAACAGGTAAAACTCATCACTAGTACATGTTGTCTGTTCCGACTCCATTTTAGAGTGGACTTACTACTTAGATGCTTTCAGTAGTTATCTACTCCGCACTTGGCTACCCAACGTTTACTGTGGTCACGATAACTAGTACACTAAAGGTGTACTTCTCGGTCCTCTTGTATTAGGGAAAGGTCCTCTCAATGCTTTAACGCCCACACCAGATATGGACCGAACTGTCTTATGACGTTCTGAACCCAACTCACGTACCGCTTTAATGGGCGAACAGCCCAACCCTTGGAACATACTACAGCCTCAGGTGGCGAAGAGCCGACATCAAGGTGTCAAACCTTCTCGTCGATGTGAGCTCTTTGGAGAAAATCAGCCTGTTATCCTTAGAGTAACTTTTATCCGTGGAGCGACGACCCTTCCACTTGTCACCGTCGACTCACTAAAGCCGACTTTCGTCCCAAATCAACAGGTGGGTGTTAAATATATCCGTCATGCTCGCAACTTTAAAACACAACTATTAGATAGATTTTTTCCGTCTTTGTAAAAAATGTTTGGATAGTCTTGACCCTTTCAAGGGGCAAAATGGACCTTTCATAGAGCATCTCAGATCTCTTAGCCACTCTGTGTGCCCACTTTTGGCAACTTCCAAGGCGAATATCCTATATTCATCCTCACCAATCTAACGTTTTATTTATTTATTTTATTTTATTTATTTATTTGGTAGGGTTTTTATTCATCCAACAAAGGTCTGAAGCTTCCATTTGTAATCGCGAGAGATGTGGACGTTGACAGCGAATTTTCAGCACTGTTCGAGCTTCCCCTTTCCTTCCATTTCCACAACCTCGCGTTCTTCGTATTCTCGCGCTCGTCCCAAGCCGACGCTCATTTGTTCTTCCTTACAAACTCAGGTTGAGACTCTTAATGGAACCTTGGACCGGAGGCTCTCTGAGAGAACCGAGATTCGATTTGGGTTGCCCAGTAAAGGTCGCATGGCATCCGACACTCTTGATCTTCTCAAGGTGCTTTCTTCTGCATCCTTTTTGTTTTGTTTTTGCCATTTTTCTTGTGAATTCTTCTCGTTGTTTGACTCTGTTCTTCTCTCTGGCGTGCCAGGACTGTCAATTGTCTGTAAAACAAGTCAATCCTCGGCAGTATGTTGCAAAGATTCCGCAGGTACTTGCTAGTTTTTCACTGCTCTTGACGAAGGCGCTTCGATTTTTTAGCTACCGATTCATGTGAAGAATTCTGCGTATGTTCTTGTTTGTTCTTCTTATTTACGTATTCATTTTGATTTCTAACAGATATCGGGTTTGGAAGTCTGGTTCCAAAGGCCTAAAGACATCGTTCGGAAATTGTTATCTGGAGATCTAGACCTCGGCATTGTGGGATTCGATACAGTGAGCGAATATGGACAAGTGAGTGTCTCAGTATATAACGATATTTGTTTTTGTGGAATGAGAATGAATGTTGTTTTTATGTAATTGCAACCATTATGAAGAACAACTTTTATTTTCTTCGCACAGGGTAGTGAAGATCTTATCATCGTTCATGAGGCCCTTGAATATGGGGATTGCCGATTATCGCTTGCCGTAAGTTCTTCCTCCCTTCATATCATGAACGTTGATTTTGTTATGTCCCGTACATGTTAATTGCTGTATTCTGACAATGTCAACTTATCCTCTCAAACTAGATACCCAAATACGGCATTTTCGAGAACATCAATTCGATCCGGGATCTATCTCAGATGCCCCACTGGACCGAGGAGAAGCCTCTTCGAGTTGCTACTGGCTTTACTCATGTATGATGCTTTGCCTCATTATCCATCACATCACTGCATAAGTTCATTAACGAAAGTGAAAAAAGTGTTTCAGTTTGGAGTTTGAATGAAGTACTAATTGGATAAGTTCTCAATAATGTCCTTTTTCACAGCTTGGCCCCAAATTTTTCAGAGAAAATGGGTTGGAACACGTGAGTTTTTCAACGGCTGATGGAGCATTGGAAGCTGCCCCTGCGGTAATAGTTCTTGCTGAAATGCAGCGTTTTTGTCTTAAATTGGTGGCTGATTTCCACATTATGCATGTCTTCTATGCATTGCATGGTGCTATTGCCAGGGGAATAGTCATTTTTTTGGATGAAGTAACCATTTACTTGATGCATGTTATCATTGTAAACTTTTACTTGAAGCATGTCCTCACTATAACCATTTACTGGAAGTATGTTATTATTGTAGGCCACGTACATACATAGCTTGAGCGAAAACGACTGCAAAAAAGTGCTTTTATAAAAAGCAAGCAATGATAGTATTTGTTTTAGTTGTTCCAAGAATATATATATATATCATGCTCGTCCCAAGTTGCTCACATTTTCCTTATGCAAGATTGTCTTGTTGAATAGGTCTATGTAGGCCAACTTTCAGCTGTCTGGAAGCACAATTAAGGACTAAATGTAACTTCTAAAATGCATTTCAAGCAGGGATCAAAATACATTTTCTATCCATTATCCCATTGTTTTCAGCTAGGACTTTTCAGATCTTTGGTTGAAGATGACATAGTAATCTGGATAACCTTCACCGCTCGGTAGTATTCCTCTATAGTTTTGAACAATGTTTTGCCCTTTGAAATGCAGATGGGGATAGCTGATGCTATTTTGGACCTTGTAAGTAGTGGGACTACTCTGAAAGAAAACAACTTGAAAGAAATTGAAGGTGGAGTGGTTTTGGAAAGCCAGGTCAACTTCTAAATTGGTTTCGTCGTTTAATCTCGTAAAACTGAGTTTCTTTGAGAAGCTTGCCATTAGATAGTTGTTTTAGGTTTATCAGATGCTTTCTTACTACAAATATAGTACTTTTTAGGCTGTTCTTCTTGCCAGCCGAAAGTCCTTGATTCAAAGAAAAGGTGCTCTTGACACAACCCATGAGATTCTTGAAAGACTGGAAGCACATCTTAAGGCTGTCGATCAGTTCGCGGTGAGTTGTTGCAGTGTGACTTGTAATCAATATTCTTCTTCCTTCTGAGCTTCATATTATCTTGCTCTATCTGGCAGGTGACTGCAAATATGAGAGGAAACAGTGAACAAGAAGTTGTGGAGCGCGTTTTAAGTCAAGCATCATTGGCCGGGTTGCAGGTGAAAGCAATTCTTTCGTAACACACCACCCGATCGAAAATGGGGGGAAAAAGAATAAAGCTTTAGAAAGTGAACACACATTCCTATCATCTGTGTATAATTGATATCTTCTTCATACAGGGCCCTACTATAAGTCCAGTTTTCTGCAAACGTGATGGGAAGGTAGTAGCTGATTACTATGCCATTGTCATATGTGTCCCCAAGAAGCTCCTCTACAAGTCGGTTAAGCAACTGAGAGCAGTAAGTCATTAGCTTTTAAGCCCTGAACAACATCTCTTCTTTAATGCATTACGAGACCGTTTCTAGTTTTTCACACGGAACCGATTGTTGCAGATCGGAGGAAGCGGGGTTCTAATATCTCCGTTAACGTACATTTTTGACGAAGAAACTCCGAGATGGAATCAACTTCTCAAAGAACTGGGGCTATAGTGAGTAGAATGGTATATTGAGTGATTGAGTTTGTAGAAGGCATCCTGTTCTTGGCGACCCTAGAAAGAGTACCTTCCACTTCCTCTTCCTCCCATAGATCCACCAAAACTTGCAGTCATTTATGTGTAATCCTGTTTTTGTGTCATTTGCCTGCTCTTAGACGTTTTGCCCTCGCAAATGTGCTGTAGGCTTCTTTGAGGATTGTGTTTTTATTTCATTTTTTAGTTCATATGGGCAATTTTGATATTATGTTCTAGTAGAGGTCAATTTACAAAATGTATTTAGTTTCTGTCTTGAAACATATATCAAATTACAGTGATGCCCTTTCAAAAAAAAAAAATAATAATAAAAATAAAATAAAAAATGGCTTTTTTTCAAAAAAATTATTTAACCTGTTATATATGAGAGATTTAATAAATTGTTATTATATTCCATGTATGTAATTAGAGAAAAAAAAATTATAGGAATTAATACAATATAGGTGAAGGCTTGAATATTTAAATTAGTTCGTTTATGAATTTAGGAGTGGTGTATTGGACCCTTTTGGACTAGGCGGGCCCCTTTTGGACCAATCCAAGAATTGGTTGGTGACCCGAGTAACTCGAATAGAGTTTCAACCGAATCCAACTCTCTATTTTCGGGTTAGACGGGCCGACCAATCCAAAATGGTTGGTGACCCGAGTAACTCAAATAGAGTTTCAACCGAATCCAACCCTCTATTTTCGGGTTAGGTGGGTCCCTTTAGGACCAATCCAAAATTAGTTGATGACCCAACTAACTCGAATAGAGTTTCAATTGAATCCAACTCTCTATTTTCGGGATGGGCTAGGTTGTCAGACATTCTTTTTTATTTCTAATTATTTAAAAAAATCCTCCATATTCATCATACATATTACATTAATAACTAAAATATCATAAAATTCAAATATCAAACATTTACAAGTCAATATCATAAAATTCAAATATCAAACATTTACAAAGTCAAAATGCACCAGTTACAAATATTAAATATTATTAACATTTTTAACAGTAGTGTAGGATTGAGTTGTAACTCTATATTCGGGCTAATCATCTTGACCTAACTAAAAAAAATGTCAACCGAAAAACCGAACCAAATCTTGTTTTTAAAAAATTCAACCTAACCTAATTTTTATGATTTAAGTTTGGTAGTCCGAATTGGTTGTTTTATCGAGTCATACAAACACTCATAACTGTTAGTCTCCGGCTTTAGTGGGTACAATTCAAAAAGTGTAGAGATGTGAGTTGATTTATTAAAAATAATCTTATTCCATTATTAGGGTATCCACTAGGGTAATCTTGCATAATGAATTATTGAATAAAGTTCTTTAAATTTTGTAAATAATATTTTGTACTAATTTAAGATGGGCCCAAATAGGTTCATATTCGGCCCAATCTTCCATTGAAACTCTTTCTCCTCCGAGTCGAGTAGCCGTAAAACCGCGTAAAACCCTACTTTGCTCCTCTGCGTTCTTCCTCACAACTCATTCCGGCGAAGGGAGAAACAATGAAGTTGAATCTTGACGCCGAGAGCTCGCCGCAGGCAACTAGGCCAAAGAAAAAGCATGGTAGAAAGAATAGCCAACTCAAGCCAAGCAAAAGCAAAGTTGAAAAGCAGAACAGTGCCGAATTACATTTAGAACAAGAAGCTCCAACTGCAGATGAGGCTCCATTACAACAACATTTGGATTCTGCTTCACTCTCCGATTCTAAAGAGGTTACTTTTCTTTCGCTGCTCGATGTAGTTTTATGTCCTACTTTTGATTTTTTTAGCTGAAAAATTATTCAGGAATAATCGTTCATGCTATTGCCTTCTAAGTCCGCTAACTGACGATATTAGCTGATTTCTGAATGCTTGACGACGTTCAATCTTCAACTTATTTGGATTTTGACGAAATATTGCATCATTCAAATGTGCACATATCTTCAGTCTGTTGCCTTTAGCTATTCAGTAGAAACCTATGGTTTCAATTATTTAGTTGTTGGATATTTGTGCCGACTGCGTTTTTTGGATTGGTTCCCTGAAATTTTTTTGATTATAGGATGTTTCGGATGATTTTAAAGACCTCAAATTATCAAAAGCTCGGGAAAGTGGATCTGCAGATGAGGTATATTGCAATTACATGTTTGTCTCATGGGAAAAATACAGTAATCTAAACTTCATATGCTCCAGAAGATTGAAATAGATTGATTCATGTGTTCGAATGTTCTAAATTGCCAGTTGTATCTTTAGAGTCCTTGGTCCTTTAGCACACTCTTCTCTCTCTGTCTCACCGAACCTCCCTTTTCAATTTTCATGACTTAGTATTTCTGTTTGGGAAGTCACTGTGTATTACTGGATTTTTTTTGTTGGACCAAATTGTGTTTAATACTATTTAGAGTTGTTGTAGCAGGATCATGTCAATACAGGAAGCCCTGATAATTTAGACCAAGAAAACGAGGATGACAACCCCATTCGTGATCAAGTGGATGAGGAAAGTGATTCGTCTGAGGATGAGGTGCGTGTAAATCCAATAGGCACACAAAAATGATCATAAATTCTTATTTACGTTTACAATATGACTGCATAAAATTTCCTTCTTAAATTTTAATCATATGTAGGTAGCTCCTAGGAACACAATTGGGGATGTTCCCTTGGAATGGTATAGAGATGAGAAGCATATTGGATATGACATATCTGGAAAGAAAATTTTGAAGAAAGAAAGAGAAGACAAATTACAATCATTTTTAGCAAGTGCTGATGACTCAAAAAGTTGGTGAGTTTTCAGTTGTTGAGATCAATTTTTATCTTCCCCCATCACCTTGATATTTATATCTGTGTGAAGACACTTGTCCATAATAACTATCATTTTATGCTTTTGTAATTTAGAGTTGTCTTGAGCTGCCACGGTACTCAATACTGAAACGTCCTTTTGCTTTTGTTTCAAACATGTGATGCATGAAATGTTCCTTCTCCTATAATGTATATGACTAGAAGTGTACTAGCCAATTACACACATCTTGAACAATGTTAGCACAATTGTCTCAATGACAATATTTGTCTTAGTGAAACTTGGTGGATATTGATATGTTAGGTAAGTGGCCACTTCTCACTTAGTCAATGAAGTGAAGGATTTATTGCCTCTTCATGCCTTATATTCTATAGATGAGGTATTTAGGCCTCTTTGTCCCACAAGGTTCAGCAGTAGAAGCATTATTAGTTCTCAAAGAGGATGGAGCTACTTAGATGAGATTTAATGCGGTTGAGGAAGTAATTGAGAAAGCCAAAAATCCTATTTGTATTTTGATTTTGAATATTTATATCAATCTTGATAAGCCTTATTACCAGAATTCACAACTCACTCTTACATTCCCAACTGTATAGAATATATGCATTCAGTAGCGTCTTCTCATTCCCATTTGAGGCGTTCTTTGTGACTTTTTGAGTCTTAACTTGTCATATCCATTAGGCGCAAGTTATATGATGAATATAATGATGAGGTAATAGAGTTGTCAAAGGAAGAAGTCAAGCAACTACGGAGATTGCTCAAAGGAAAGGCTCCACATGCTGACTTTGATCCATATGCGGTCGGTAGTTGTGCAATTTTTTTAGCTTAAATGTTATTTGACAACCCATTCCTTGCAATGAGATGCTTTTCCTAACATGTATATATCTTTTTCCATTTTCCAACTACAGCCTTATGTTGATTGGTTTAAATGGGACGATGCCAAGCACCCACTGTCAAATGCACCTGAACCAAAGAGGCGTTTTATCCGTTCAAAATGGGAAGCTAAAAAGGTATTGCTTTCAAATTTTGTCCAAGGTGAAATGGCGTGATGTGTTTTAACACTTTGGTCTTTAGAAAATTTTTCTAATGAATAAGAAATGTTTTCCCATCGACCATAATTATATACCAATGTGTTTACCTGTGATTCGTTTTTATATCTACTCTCGTACACACTTCCATATTTCTCGATCAAGGCCTTGTTTCTCATAAAAACATACCTGCTATCATATACTAGTCCATGTTTTGTGCTCTACATTTTCTGATTTTGGTAAATTCTGTAGGTTGTTCAATTAGTTCGGGCAATTAGAAATGGACATATTAAGTTTGACAAGCCCAAAGAAGAGCAGCGTTTTTACCATTTGTGGGGTGATGATTCTAGCTCCACCGAGAAGACCGCACATTTGTCTTACATTCCTGCACCAAAACCAAAGTTTCCAGGTATTATTTTATCTGTCTTCTAGATTTTTAGGTGTTTACCACTTTTATCTGGCATATCTGCTAAGTGTCTTAGTTTTTGACAGGTCATGATGAGTCATATAATCCTTCATTGGAATATATCCCCACTCAAGAAGAAATAAACTCATATCAGTTAATGTATGATGAAGATCGACCGAAGTTTATTCCTAGAAGGTGATAAAGCTTTGTCTATTGTCAATAGCTAATTGTATTATGCCTAATATATTTATCATCTGCCTATCTACTTTGTTTTGTTGTGCATCCATTGGTTTATGTTATATCTGTTCTGGTCAGGTTTACATCCATGAGAAGTGTACCTGCCTACGACAATGCTCTGAAGGATGCATTTGAACGTTGTTTGGATCTATACTTGTGCCCTCGTGTTCGGAAGAAGCGTGTAAGTAAAACAAGACCAAGAACCTTTGCTGTTTTATTTTTTTTAAAAATAAACCCTACTATTGTTTCCTAGGTCTTACATCAGATTTAAGCTCTTTTGATGTTATTCTATTACTCAATAACTATACAAGTACATTGATTTTTCCTTCTTCTCATAACTTTCATGTTTCAGATTAATATTGATCCCGAGTCTTTGAAGCCTAAGCTGCCAAGCAGGAAAGATCTTAGACCTTATCCGACTACATGCTATCTTGAATTTAGAGGTCATAAGGATGCTGTCATGTCCATTTCAACTGAAGCCAACGGCCAATGGATTGCTTCAGGTAAGAATAACAAATTTAAATTCACGTGACCAAAAGAATGGTTTGGACTTGGGTCCTAATTTCTGCTATTGTGTGTGAAGGTTCATTGGATGGAACTGTTCGGATATGGGAAGTTGAAACAGGCAGATGTCTCAAAGTATGGGAGCTTGAGGAGGCTGTGAAGTATGTAGCCTGGAATCCCTTGCCCGAGCTTCCAATATTAGCTGCTGCCGTGTAAGCCTAATGATACCATCATTTTCAAGATATTTAAACTATGGTATAACATAGTTTAAATTCAAGATATCATTTTCGTTAATTTACTGGTTAACATTCTGCAGGGGTGTAGATGTACTGCTTTTAAACACTGGCTTTGGGGATGGAGAGGTTCAAGCGAAAGTTAAGGAACTTCTCCACATTGATGCACTTCCTGCAACGGATAATTCTGGTAGTATGCAATAGTGATTTATCTCAGTGCCATAGTCGGTTTGAGTGTTGTCCTAATCTGTGATGATTCTATGCATAGATAAGACGCCAATTGCAACCTGGCTTCAAGATGACAAGGTCGAGGGGATTAGATTGAGGCATTTTAAGGTGCTTTCTGTTCATCTTCTCCCTCTAATGTTATGGATCTTTCTAAATGAGGAATGTGACTGGAGTGTCCTGTGTTTCATGTGGTTTGCAGACTGTATCTTCAGTTGAATGGCATCGCAAAGGAGATTACCTTTCAACAGTTATGCCAGCTGATATCCTATTCAACTTTTTTTTGAAGTGTTGCCATTTTTTTTAACTTGGATATAATTGACTTTTGAGTTATATGTGTCCGTATATCTAATCTGTGGTGAAGCCTTGGTATTTGTAAAATTTTTCTATGCATTTGTAAATCGTGTCCTGTTGTCTAAACCTGTAGCTTTGGTGAATAGCATCTGTTTGCTGACGTAAGTCAACTTGACACCATTTTGTCTTGCCTTTACTTTGTCCGAGATGTTTTTTCACGTCCATGATTCTAAGCTTGTAAGAAAAATTTCCTCTGGTTAGGTTGAGTGTTGCTTATAAGGTACCTGCTCCTTGACATAAATAAGACATTAAACAATTAGTCTTGCGGTTACTCGCCTAAAAGGAAGTCAGTTTGGGCTTTTGGGAGTTCTAACTATCTTGATTTTTATTTTGTTGTTTTAGGGCCTTTTTGCTTTTCTCTTTGGTTGTGTACATGCTTCTGTTGGGGATGCTTTTCTACTTTTTTATGCCTTTTATCGCTTCATGTATGTTTCATTCTTGTAGAAATTTTGTTTATAATTAAAGAAATGTTATGAAATTTGCAAATAGGACCTTTTTGTGTCTGATATTTTCTTGTTCGATGCGTGAAGTGGTAACAATTATAATTTGTTTATTTAAGAGAGGACTGTTTTCCTTGACCTGTCTTACGTGAATCAAGAGGAGTTGTTATTCACCAGCTCTCTAGAAAGCTAACACAAAAAATTCCATTCAAGTTGCATGGGCTTCCTGTTTCATCCATTTTTCATCCCACTCGATCCATCTTCTTTGTATCAACGAAGAAGAATGTTCGTGTTTATGATCTATTGAAGCAAAAGCTCGTGAAAAAGCTGGAAACTGGACTTCGTGAAGTTTCTTCTATTGCTGTGCATCCAGCTGGTACATTAAAGATTAAGCCTCACTAGTTACTACATTGTATAATTCTTGGAAAAGCTCACCGTGACGTTTTTATGTAGGTGATAATGTTATCGTGGGGAGCAGAGAAGGAAAAGTATGTTGGTTTGATATGGACCTTTCATCTCAGCCTTACAAAATTCTCAGGTATTTTGCCCACAGCGCTGCCCTTTTTATTCTTTGCTGGATATAGAATGAATATCTTGGGGAACGTTTTGACTTTTGATTATTTGAATGTAAAAAAAAATGTTCACATGGAGGGATTAGTTGGTAGGAGGGGACTCTTTTTCCCCTGCTATCTATAGTAGTCGAAAATCTCTAACGTTTCTTTTGGAATATTTGTGCAGCTGCCATCCAAAAGATGTCACAAATGTTGCCTTCCATCGATCATATCCGTTGTTTGCATCGTGCTCCGATGATTGCACTGCATATGTTTTCCATGGGATGGTTTACTCGGATCTTACACAGAATCCCCTTATTAGACCGTTGGAAATACTAAGAGGACACAAAACCACCAATGGAAGAGGTGAGTGAGTCGATTAAATTCTTTCGACTCGATCGATCGTCATATCTAGGTGTCTCTTATGTATGTGCATGTAGATGGGATCTCCTTGCAATCTTATTCTAGAAACTGATATTATCACATTGCTTGTGGTGTCTCAAATGGCAGGAGTAATGGACTGCAAATTTCACCCAAGGCAGCCATGGTTGTTTACTGCTGGTGCGGATTCAGTGATCAAACTGTACTGCCACTGAGAAGATCAAAGGAAACTTGGTATCTGGGAATTGCTGTTTTGCTCGGATCATATGAAGGTCAAAGAATTCAATTTTGTCTCTTTTTCAATCTAATCTTAATCTTTTATCAATTCAGGGATTGTTGTTATACATAAATAGAAGCTAGTCCAGTCATTGTAATCCACATTTAAAAGAAATGAGATTTTACTGTTTTTTTCTTCTTATTTGTGCCCTCTCTTGGAAAGAAAGAACGTTAATGAGGCTGCTGCCATTATATACACACATTCTACGAGATCCTATTATTATTACGAACTGAATAATGAATAACGAAACACAAATCTCTCATTACAATTGGTATATATAACCCCGTCAGGCCAAGATCACGATCACAATCACAATGCCTATTTGAGATCTGAATCGACAACCCAAAAAAGAATGGTAGCTTGAGCATGCCATCAAGCCAAGTTAGGTTCTTGACATCTCCAACACTGACATTTTCAACCTCAATGCCTATTTGAGATTTGAATCGACAACCTAAAAAGGAATGGTAGCTCGAGCATGCCACCAAGCCAAATTAGGGTCTCGACATCTCCAACACTGACATTTCCAACCTCAATGTCTATTTGAGATCTGAATCGACAACCTCAAAAGGAATGGTAGCTCGAGCATGCCACCAAACCAAGTTAGGGTCTCGACATCTCCAACATTTCTAACCTCAATGCCTATTCGAGATTTGAATCGACAACTTAAAAAGGAATGGTAGCTCGAGCATGCCACCAAGCCAAGTTAGGGTCTCGATATCTCCTCTACTGACATTTCCAACCTATTATATTAGATAGTCCACCTCTACAACTTATCTGTGCTCAGCTTGATATCACTTCATACTCAGGAGTATGAAAAGTTGAGTGTATTGAACAAAGCACCAAATTAGGTCTATTCTTGGGTCTAAAGTATTCACAATTTAAGGATTATATACATAAAAACACAAGCCAGTCCACTCGTTGTAATCCATATTGTAAAGAAATGAGATTTACAATTTTTTCAGATTATTTGTGCCCTTATGAAAGCAAATTGTACGGAATAATCTAAAAAATTGTTCATGAGGCTACATTTTACATAAATACAGCGCCAATAACACAATCAGGATACCTCGAGGCAACCATGATACACAAATTCGACGAGTTTCTATTCTTATGTGACGAATTGAATAATGAAGAACTATTCACATCTCCTCGTATTCTGTAGATTCATTATGACAAAAGTTGAACTGCGGCTATGGATGGTATCTTCTCTCGCAATTTTTGTGTAACAGCCACACGCACTGTCATGACCCCAGCTGCTGGCCCTGTGATCCGAACTTTAACTATTGGCTCCTCGATACCCACGAGTTCGAGAGATCCTCCCGCTGCCCCGACAAGATAAGGTCTTATCTCTTCCAGTACCTAAGAAAGGGGCAAAAAGAAAACTCAGCTTCTGAATTCGGAGTCTAAATTGACCTTATGGCATTCACTGGAAAAATAAGCAATAATAACATTCAATCATAATTGTACAAACAAGAGCGAGTCTTTCTTTCCAATATTTCATTAAGGTTGGAAGAGGCATTGGAATCTCCATCAAGATTGAATAGATAATAATAACGATGGAATTACAACCCATCCAAGTGACAAGGAATACCAACCAACTCGGATGGATGCAAGGATGAGACGGGCTAGGAAATATATCACATGACAAGGAGTAATAAGTATTTCAGAGATAGCCTACCAGTACGATTCGATTATACAGCCCCTTGGGTTTCATATGATGACAGGCAAATTCAAGCGTTGTGTTGCATTACTATCAGGTTCATTGTCTACAAATGCTGCAAGCTTAACCAAGCTGGTCGCAGTTTTGGACCAATACCATGTAGAGTAGCACCCGGATTAAAAAATCGGACACACGGGCCTTGGATGCACTTAATTGATATTTCTATGAAGAACGAAATGAAGATGTAATCATGCCATATGCTTTCTTGGCAGTCCTTATCCGAATAAGGATGATTTCGAAAACCCATTCGTTCCTTCGGTCACAGAGAAATGAGAAATGGAAGGCTGAAGTACCAAAAAAAAAAACTACGGAGACAGAGGCATGACCTACTAAATGGGTAATATCTTATCAAAAAACGAAGCCAATCTGAAGTATTGTCGAAGTTGAATAAAAAGAATGCTAGCTTAATCCTACCCTTAATTTCAAAATAATCACATATATCAAAGAATGCTAGCTTAATCCTACCCTTAATTTCTCAATAATCACATACATCATAGAATGCTAGCTTAATCCTACCCTTAATTTCTCAATAATCACATACATCAAAGAATGCTAGCTTAATCCTACCCTTAATTTCTCAATAATCACATACATCAAAGAATGCTAGCTTAATCCTACCCTTACTTTCTCAATAATCACATACATCAAAGAATGCTAGCTTAATCCTACCCTTAATTTCACAATAATCACATATATCAAAGAACCTGTTTGAGCTATACCATTGTGCTTCTTCCTCCCAAAAAATGTTCAAATACCTTGAAGGGTCCATTATAAGCCGTCTATAGGTCAGAGATTACAAGTGGGTTGTTGCAAGGCAAAAATACGATTCAGAAACCAATTTTAAGTTGCATCTAAATCATAGAATGAATACGCCTGATGGAGAGTGAACATTGATTTACCTTCTCTATATTGTCCTCGTTGAGCTCCAATCCAGTTTCCTCATCTGCTATTGGTTCCACAGCAACTATTTCAGGGATCTTCTCCATCAAACGCCGTTCAATTCCCATCTTCATAGTCGTAACAGAACTCGGACATGAGCCACATGCTCCTTGTAGCTTCAACCGTACAACATTTCCGTCTATTTCATGTAATGCCACATTACCACCATCCGCAATAAGATATGGTCGAACCTCATCCAGCACACTTTCAACATTTTCTGCAGTCAGCGGCAATTCCAGTGCCGAATTGGAAGTTGCGACGGCTCTAATAACTGAAAACAGAAAATTTTGAATCATACGACAAAGATTGGCAATCTCAGGAGAAAAAGGATTGGGCAGGGGCTTCGTTCTAAGATCTACGATAACCAATCGCATATCTACCCTAAGAGCGAGCAATTTACCAAATAAAAACATCCGATAGATTCAACAACCAGGACTTAATGCGAATCCAACACAATTCAATAGGAGGAATGAAGAAATAGTACCTGGCGTGCGTGAGTTAATTCGAAGGGAACGACATGATCTCCGGCAAAGAGGACTGCGCTGTCTTGAAGGCGAAACATGGCGGACGAAGAAGGAGGAGATCTACAAGATATTCCAGATCTGAACTTGTCAATTTGGTTAGGAGGAACAGAAAACGAAGGAGTAAAAGAGGGAAAGGAAAGGGACCTCGAAGGCGCGAGAAGAAGAAGAAGAAGAAGGAGGAGATTGAAGGGTTTGCGGGGCTCTGTGATAAGGGGAGGAATTCAACACCATGGGCTGCATACTGAATTCAATCGCTGTTCCTCCTTCGTCTTCGTCCGACAAAGGATATGAATGAGAGATTCGATGGAGCGATTCAGAAACTTAGAAGCCCCAGCTGCCTCCTTCACCACTAAAACTTCTTTAATTATTATTAAATTAAATTAATAAAAAAAAAATACCTGTAAATTTTATATTTCATTATTAAAAAAAATATTTTTTAAAATTTTCAAATTTTTTAACAAAATATTCAACTTTTAATAGTTTAAACTTTAAAATTTTATTAATATCCTTTAAATTTTTTTAAAAAGTTAAAAAATATTTTTACCGTTAATATTATATTTAAAAAATACCCATAAAATTTAGTATTAGCATTAACCCTCCAAATCTTTTATAAAATTTTTTTAAAAAATTATTATAATCAATATACGAACATATATACTTTTAAAAATTCATGAATTGGTACTAATAATTTGATAAAAGGCATTTTAAATTTTTTTAAATAAATTTAAATATATTTTTAAAAATTTTAAAAAACTTTAAATATATTAATGAAATTTTTGAAAGCTCGAATATTTTTTAAACAAAATATTAACGATTTCTATTCGGTATATTTTCAAACTTTTTCTCGAAGATTTAAGAATATTTTTTTTTGAAACATTAATTAATTTAGTCTTATTATTATTATTATGCTTGATTTTTAATAAATCTCCCAACGGTCATTTTTTTTTCTGAGGGTAAATAATTCTTTTGTTTGACTTTATAATACAAATAATATAAATTTTTATATTATAAATAGCTTTCTCCTTGCATATATATATATTTTTTTTTCTTTCAAATTTTAAAATCTAATTTCATTCAATCTTTCATTAAAAAAAAAAAACATTTCATACGACAAAAAAGAAAAAAAAGTGAAATTACATTAGAATGTTCAGAGAAAGACGATCAAACAATTCCCACCAGACGGGAAGGAAGAACGCAAATCAAAAGGTTGTTTAATTGAAGGATTTGAATGAAGAAGTGAGACTCCCTTTTCTCCTTAATCTCATCAACAAATCTCCAACCAGTGGAATTATTGGCTTTTTCTTTACCTTTTTCTTCTCCTTTTTCCCTCCAAATCTCAATATCTGAGCCAATGGCTCTGTTCTCCTCATTTCTTCTTCTATCCTTCCACTCTCACATCCCATTGTGATTCTTCTCGTCGCCACAGCTTTCGCCGCCGCCGCCGCCTCCGCTTCCGCCTCAGCCAAGTTCGACATGTTCTTATGCAGCTCTGCATTCAGTGAAGCCAATGCCACTTCTGTATCTTCTTCCCTTTCCTTCAACAACCTCAACTCTTCCTTAGTCTCCTCCAGCTCTGCCTCAAGTTTCTTCAGTGTATCCAACACTTCATGTTCTTTCTCTTCCTTTAGTGTTGTTGTGGAGCTTAACAAAGAATCCCATGTGCCTGTTTCAGCCAATGGGGCATTGGGACATGGCTTTGGCAACGACGAGTAAGCTTCTTCGACTAGAAGACGTTCGCCAAACACTGCAACGGCTTCTTTGACAGAGCGGAAGGGGCGGGAGGTGTCAACAATGGAGGCAGAGCTTTGATTAGGCATTTCAGGGTCTTCCATGGGACGTGTGGGGAGAGGGTGTGGGAGGATATGGTGTATTTGATGATTGGTTAGGTGGGAGAATTGAGGTCTTTGCTTTAGCTTTAAACGTAAAGAGAGAGAGAAGGGGGGATGGCTGTTGTTTCAAGGTTAAGACAAAAAAAAAACATCACCATCATGCTGTGTGGGGAAGATGGTGGTCGAAAATGACCAGCCAACAGATAGAGAGGTGGAGGTTATAACATAATATGAAGCTATGAAAGTAAGAAAAGGAATGAAGCTAAACAAGCATTATTGTCAGCACATAATCAAACATGGGTCAGTGACATACCTCTCTCCATGGCTGCAACGGATTTAGCAGTTCATTAAGCAGCTGCTTTTGGTTGGTTGTAGTTGAATCTCCAAATATTTGATTTTCTGGTACAGCAGCAGGTCCAATGTCCACTGTAGCTTAAATGTATACTCTTTCTTGCCTTCTACATCAAGTAATGGCTCCATCTTTATATGGAAACTCCAACTACAAATTTCGAGTGAAATTAAGACAATTTCATAGAGAGTTTGTGAGATCTCAAATTGGTTGGGGAGGAGAATAAAACATTCTTTGTAAGAGTGCGACAACCTCTTTCTAACAGACGCGTTTTAAAATTTTTGAGGGAAAGCCCGAAAGGGGAAGCTTAGTGTGGGATCCCACATTGTTTGGGGGAGGAGAATGAAACACCCTTTATAAGGGTGTGGAAACCTTTACCACCCTTGAGGGGAAACCCAAAAGGAAAAATCTAAAGAAGACAATATATGCTAGCAGTGGGCTTGGGCTGTTACACTTAAAGAGGACAAAGGCTATTACACTTAAAAGGACAATATCAACAATGAGTTTAGGCTGTTACAAATGGTATCAGAACCAAACATTGGGTGAGGAGGCTGAAACCTCAAAGGGGGTGGCCACGAGACGGTGTGCTAACAAGGGCGCTAGACCCCGAAAGGAGGTAGATTAGGGGAGGGGGGAGTCTCATATTGATTGGAGAAGGAAATGAGTGCCAGTGTCTTCACTGGGCCCCCAAGTCCCCAAGGGGTGGATTGTGGAAACCTCTTCTTAGTAGATGCTGGCCCCAAAGAGAACAACATTTATTAGCGGTGGGCTTGAGCCGTTGCAGAACTTCTCTTTGTATGACATCAAATCTTTGTATGACATCAAAGCTTGCCAAAGCAAAACTACAATGCAGAGCTTCTGTGAAAAGAAAATGGCAGGAACAACAAATAAAGGAGTAACCAGAGATCAAGTTTATTTCTTTAGTAACAGTCGATCCATGAAAAGTTGGACAAACAATAAGTTACATTACTAGTTCCCAATATTTCCGAATAAACAACAGTAAATGTAATTCTACCCTTTTCCCCATTTTATTTTCAATTGAATGGTAACTTAATATTATTAATACTTGCTAACAACAACAAATTCTATCTTTTACGTGAACCTCCAGGCATGAGATATTTATATTTCTTAAAGAGTAATGAGAGAGCTGGGCGCACCATTGGCCATGTTGTGATAATGGCAATGTAAGCGAGCAGCCAGAATGATCTTCCACTCCGGCGTGCAAGACAATCTGTGCATTTCCTTGCAGGAGTTGTGGCCTGTGTTGGGTTTGGATCCTTTTCTTCACTGCGCTCTGGTTGGTCATTCTTCTTCCTAACATGGTCAGCCTCTTCTTTGTCCAAAATGACTTCGGCGCTTGTACTAACGTTGGCCGTTTCCTGGTTCGATAAGTCTTGCATAGTATCATCTGTTTGCTCATCACCTACAGCAGTAACCATTCCATCTTCCAAAACGCTCACGTAAGGACCTTGATCGATGGAAAAGCTCGGAGTAGGAGCTGTTGTCTTTCGCATCTGCAAGGAAGTATAAGTTGTATGAGGCTAGATTACATAGAAATAGAAGCCTTCTCATACATTAATGGGTTAAAAAGATCCAATGGCTTGTTGACGGAGGGATGGGAGAGCCAAAAATTTCAAATATGAAAGGGATTGCAACCAAGAGAGAGCTCCTACTTCTAAGACAACGGGAAAATGTTCAAAGATGATCCTTTCTTCTGGAGAGTATCAAAGTGGATGAATCTAGCATTCCACTTGTTTGAGGTGAAAAATACCTCAGCAGGATAAAAAACGGGAGATTCTGATATGTTTGACCAAATATAACATCCATTTTAAACAGGAATATCATCAAGAGAGAGATCTCGGATGACCTTGCTAAAAAGACCGATTATCGAGCGTAGCCAAACAAACTTGACGGTGGAACGATCAATAGAAGAGCTCCGGTTCTTGGAGGAAAACAATATCAAAGCTGGTATCAAGGAAAGAATTTTTAATCTTCTGCCTTGCACCAGAGCTGCAAATGCTCCAACTTAGAAGCTTCATGGACAACTGGAAGGTTGTCATATTGATGAAATAAGGTTTTCAAACTCTCTGTTTGTCCAGCCAACATGCTTTTTGGTGCTTTTCTTGGTCAGCTTTCATTTGGTAATTGGCATTATACATAAGCCAAGTTTTTGAAATGAATGCCAAGCCACCAATACATTTCACTTATGTTAGGAACCAGGCTTAGCAGTGTGGATCATATTAGTAGAGATATATAGGCAGAGTGAGGTAAGTTGTCAATGACAAGTGAAAGGTAGGGGAAGTGGGAGGGTTCTAAAAATGCATCTGCTAGGAATAAGTTTTCACACCTTTATAAAAAATGTTTCGTTCTCTTCTCTAATCAATGTGGGATCTCATAATCCACCCCTTGGGGGCCTAGGCTGGCACACCGCTTTGGCTCTGATACCATTGTAACGGCCCAAGCCCACCGCTAGCAGATATTGTCCGCTCTGGCCCATTATGTTTCGTCAGCCTCACAGTTTTTAAAATACGTTTGTTAGGAAGAGGTTTCCACACCTTAATAAGAAATCTTTCATTCTCCTCTCCAACTAATGTGAGATCTTACTGGTTAAAAGTTATTAGATTAGATAATCCTTTCATTCTGATTCATGAATTCTCTTTCAATGTACCTGAGCACTAAATGCTATAAATTTAATTATGGTCATGTTACTGCACCTGCTTTATTACACCAATGTACGAGCTGGAATGTAGGACGCCGAGGAATTCATCGACAGCCCTTGCCCACCTACACGACATGATTTTACACGACGAATCACAATTAGATGACCCTAATTCCAAGTTTGCTAATGAATGTTAAGCTGCAAGATAAGATCTAATGAGACTTCTAAGTAATCAGCCAATCATTTTATATTTTATTTTATTTACATTTTATGCATAATCACCCACAATGAAAGCATACGGTACATCAAGACTTCAAAATCCAAAAATTCCTTTTTCCCAGTACAATTTACAAATGGGAGGACGTGTATATTACCACAGGCTGTTGGCAGTTATCCCTTCATAGAAACCTAGATGTCCTCCATGCGGTGTCGTTGCTAGAACGACATTCCTATTTGCCCTGTAAATAGTTAATCAACCAGGGTTATCCAAATTCCAAAAAGGATAGGATTAGGCAAGTGGAATAATTATACATTAAAAAATATTATGGTGCATTCTCACAAATGATTTATTTTCAGAAGAAAATGAAAATGTTATTCCTTTCAAAATCACGGATTTGTGAATAGTAATTCCAAATAATTTCTTTTGTGAATGACTAATAAAATAAATCACAATTTTTTAAAAACAGTTCTGAAAACAAAAATAGAAAACTGTTTTCAGAAGTTCTGATAACTATAGCAGAACAGCTTATAACTATTGAGCACAATTTTTAAAAAAAGTTCTGAAAAAAAAAAAAAAGGAAGTGCTTACAAGCATGAAATAAGTCCTACCTACACTCGTCCCATGGAATGGCTTCTTTTGTGCAAACCGGATCATCCAAAGCACTAATGCATAGAAGTGGCACTGCTACATTTCCCACATAGGTAGCACTAGTGGCGTGCCTGTAAAATGCATCCACGGTCTGGGAAAGAACAGAAACATGTTTTAGCATTTACGACGTAATTGAAAACATAAGGGCCTTTTGGGTTTACATTAAAAAAGAGAGAAAAGAACTGTATGGAAAGATACTTCCGTTCATAGATTTTCATTTATTCTTCCATATATTAATTTCAAATTATAACACGCATGAATCAAATTAAACCTAAGCGATGATTATAATGAATCGTTAATATGAAAAACACACTGAATCTAATTTACTACTTCCTGTTTTTTATGCCTTGAAAGCTGTTTTTAAAAAATTATCGGTAAATCTATGCATTTTTCCTTTTTCTTACATGAATTGTTATTTGAAATTAGGAAAAAGTCCATTTATATTCCAAACTTTGAGGTTGTATCAATTAAAGTCTCAAATTAATAATGGTATCAATTTAAGAAAATCCACTATCAGTGATTCTATTTAAAATCAATTCAAAATTACTTAAATAAAATTATTTCACCCAAAATCCTACTAGAATAGCAAGAAAAACAATCACGTAATTCTTCCTAGATAAGTGAAGAAAAATAGATGAAAAAACACTTGTATTAATAAAATCTACTATCCATTTGAATCCAATATTCTTCTATGATATTACCTTAAACTATGCATTTAGAACAGTCTTATGTACCTATGAAAATTATGGATCAACAATTTTATCTTAACCGATCGTCTAAATTGATTTAGTTATAAAATAGTACAGATTGATTTTTTCGAGTTCAACATCACTTGGTCGAGAGAGTATGTATAAATGAGTTGAACTATGTTCAAATTATCCAATCAAATTAAGTATTCAGAATGTGTTTTACCTCAAAATTTCCAAGGATGCGTGTGGCATAGTTGTCAAAATCACGAATCGAACGTGACTGCCATGAAGCAAGAAGAAAATATTAATATATATAATATGGATTATGGTTAGACAAAAAAAAAAAAAAAATACAAATACAAATAAAAAATCTTATGTGATACGATTGTAAAGGTCTGTCTTAATTTCCATTTAAAATCACAAAAGAAGTGAGTAGGAGTCCTGAAGTTGAATGTCACAAGCCTTACTTGCAGGACCTTAAAATACTACTCCGATCTAATGCATCCAATGGGTGGGGTAAATAAATTAGACCTACAGATATGAGCCGCATGTATCAAGCCTTATAATAATTTTTCGTCAGATGAAATTAAATGGAACTTATAGTCTTGTATTCCTCACATAAGGCAGCCCAATAAGTTGTTTTGTTAATATTAAATATTTTAAAAGACCAAAGCAGAATAGACAGAAATCTTGGTCGTGCATAAATTTCAGACCAATTTAAAGTGATGAGCTAATGTTGAGACATCAACGAGGTGTCCATCAGAAGATAATCATGTCAGAGCTAGCAAAGTTTAAGATGCATGACTTTAAATATTTTCATGCTAAAGTACGATGTAACAGAGTCAAGGACCTTCTTAATGGATTCCCACTCCGTAAGTTGAGATAAGTTGGATCGATGCCTGCAGGGAAATATAATATAAGTTGGAAAGATATTAATGTTATCTCATGCTTAATAGTTAAAGTAGTAAAGCACTCTAAGTTATCATGTCAATGGGTACGAAAAAATCATATTAAGGTAAAAAAAAAGGTTTATACGTACAATAACGCAAAATCTTGTAAGCCGATAGCCAAAGCTTTATTATAAAAACTCTGAACAAGCCTGCGATTAATAAACCTGTCGCATATCTACAGAAGGGAACGGCATGGGAATTGTGTTAGGCGATTAAAAAGAGCATAGAAGATTGGTTTTTATAACTACACTGACAATATGACGAGCTTCACACACACATCGAGTCCTGAGAGAAAGGAGTGAAACTTTGATTGTATTGAGAAACAACAGTCATGGCTATAAAATAAACTGAACGATTCTAATATTTCATCTGTTTCACATGTATAGAAGGAAAAGTAGAAAGTAAATTGATATCAGCCCATCATGTCTCCAGACTGTAATGACCTCACTTTTGCTACAAACCTGAGAGCAACTTTCACACAAATTCTTCTTAGAAAGAGACGCATGTCGGTTAAAGAAAAGAGGCGTAATTGGCATATCCATTAAAAGATCTTGAGATCAATTCAATGGCCTCTTTACACATGCTATATGAATGAGCATCACAATGAAGGGAAAAGAACATGCACCTAATTTGAAGTACCTATTGGTAAGAAAGTAAACTATTCAAGATAATAAATAAGATAGGTTCTATTATACCACCAAAATAACTAGATTGCCTTAAGAATATTGGGAAAAAGAAATGATTCTTAACGAATGCTGTTAAGTTGAAAAATCTTCACACCGTAAAGAAATATAATGCATCAATTAGATTATGCAGAACACAATTGGCATACTAACCAACAGATCCCATGGCGAGCAAATAGCTGCAGCACCGGAAATAGGGACATTGGCACCATCCTCTCCAAGGTATTTTACCTGAAGGAAGCAGTACATGTTGAAATTGGAAAAAAAGAAAAATTCTACCAACAAAATGTTCACGAAAAAGCTGAAGATTTGTTGGACCAGAAATTCTACCGACGGCAAACTTCAATGGTTTAATTGTTGAGATTGAAAACTCAAGAACCCAAATGCCACATAAGTGAACCAAAGCGTCATTTTACCGACATTTAAATATTTATTATGAATTTTATTAGTTTAAAATGATAAATAATTCTTTTATATATTTTTAAAAGAGCCTGAACATGAAAAGAACAAGAAACTAGATTTGTTATTTCCAAGCTAATAGATAATTTGGGAAAAATTCTTAAAAAATAAACAAGAAATAGGAACAATTTCCAAACACTTACGTTTCACAAACATGGTTAACAAGAAATAATAGACAGTCACCAAATAACTCCTTAATAACCAAGATTACGAAATAATCAAAGTTAGAAAAGAACAAAAACAATAAAGATTTCTACGGTTCGCAACAACTTTTCCCATTGATCCCAAAACCATTTCCAGCTTCTTAAAATATTATAACCTTCATAAGCTTAGCAATCCAAAAGAATTTAGGAGCAAATTTGAGCCTATCCTACCTTTTTACGCCTGTTGGCTTCATGATAAAATCCAATTCAGTCAAGAAAACATGAATTCATAATGTGTTTAATAGGTAAATACTTATACCAGAACGTTTGCGCCAATACTAGTTCCAACAACAAACAGAGGAGATTCTGGATGTTGACTATGAATATGGCCAACCACGCTCCTTATATCCTCTGTCCATCCAGCATTATAGACACGTTCAGACTGAGCATACCAAGGAGAATCAAGATTTCAGATAAATAAGATAAATCACATATATATAGAATTCCATAATAAAAATATAAACATATATCATCCGGAAAATAGTGCATCCACACAAGTTTTTCGAAGTGTTTTTTATTTATTTAGTTATTTTAAATAAATACTTTTGATCCTCTGAAATCATCGAAGAAACTATACTAAACAAACTTTTAAATTATTAATTTTTCAGAGATACTTCTAGAAAAAAATTATTTTACTTGCACAACATTTTTTTTTTCACAAGTTCTAAATTTGGGAAAAGGAAAGGAAGCCAGAGGCAGTAGCTTTCATTAAAGAGGTGATTACCATTTAAACCCAACCCTTTCTTCCCCAAGACCTTATCCAAGAAACTCCAATCAACATGTACTAAATCTGTTAAAACTAATCAATAAAAAGATATAATGAGCAAATTTGCAGACTACACAAGTATTCAAAATCATTTTTAAAACACAAATCACAGAGGTATAATTTGCAATTATCTCTTGAATAGGTAAGTTGAAACTGAGAGGAAGGTATGTTTCAGCATTTGTCAAAATGTCCAGCGTCTCCATTTTAAGGTTAACGCCATTCCTACAGTTAAACTTAATAGCAATCTTACAGTTAGTGATATGCCGCCAAGACCACGATGATTGCTCACAACGACATTCCATCCACGGTTGGATATCCTGAATGCCAAATGCTTGATGTACTGCAGAAAGTGCAAACCTTCTTGAGCCCAACAAAACAACCATTAAAGAGTCTAAAGAAAAGCACTGGCCAAATGCTAAAGGTGAAAATGTTTTATGATAGACACCGTGTTATGCACTTACATCTGATTTCATCATTTATTTTCTTACTCCAAATTCGAGTTGTTATTATAGATGTAACAAGAAAAACGAAAAAGAAATTATATTGCATCATTATCATAGTTTCAATAATTCCTTTCATATTCTCCCAAATAAAAAATTCTACATCAAGACATCTAACAATTAGAATAGATGATTTTGTTTCAATTTGGCATCACCATACTCCTGTATTCCTGTAATTTTATCTGTTTAATGAAAGATTTTTCATGAGGAAGAATGTGTGACTCTTGGTCATCGATGCGTTATATCAAACATTTCATGATTTTATTGAAACTACCCTCCTATGTATAACTACTTGCAGTAGCCTTCTGAATGATGATATATTTTCCTGTCTCCTCGACTCTGGTATGCACATGACATTTCAAACGGACAAAGCTAATAGTTATTTTGATACCCTTTTATATTTCACATTGGCGTACATGTCATCTGTCACGACTATAATTGACATGAACTGTAGAAAATAACCATCAACGGGAATAATACTGTGGCATCTCAAATAAAAGCCCTACCCTGTGCAAACATGTACATCCGGGGAAAAAGAAGAAGAAGAAAAAGGAAATCGTTTGGGAAATTTGGGAAATAAGATTAAATAAAATTAGCATATAAGTTGGAAAATGAAATATAACTTACAGCTGCAGATGAATCACTGGTTAATCCTGGAATAACTATAACGGTTGGTGTTTTCTCATTGTCAGGAGTGTTAACATTCACGCCAAAGGCAGCATATTTAACTGCACAAGTGGGTAAAATTAGGGAAGTATCCAATAACACATATCACTTGATTACTGAAAAATCTTGACAGCTTTTAGCATCCGATACGTGAAATTCAGCATGGATTAAGTGGATTTAAACTTTACTCCTTTGGTTTGCAAGAGATTTATACCTCTTCTAGAAAGACTTCCACACTAAGACTTAAAATTTAGCAATTTGTCTTATGAGATCGAAAGAAAAATAGCATTAACTGACTGCCTATTATTTATGAAAGAATTGATAGAAACCCACTAATGGAAAATAGAACATGATTTGTGAGTCAGCTTATTACTATTTTTTTTACGTAAGGTTTAAAAGAACACAAAAGACCAGTGAAAATGATACTGTAGCTGATAATTTTGAAACAGGCCCATAAAAATTGAATAAAAATGTGGGTGAAAGTTCAAAAGTAATTGGGACTACATTTCAAGTTTGCAATGTCTAGCACTGAAAGCACGAGTTGGTATCCGAATAGTATAAAGTTTGTCGTTGTTTTATTAATATTTGACCAATGCCTACTCTTTGAAGATATTTCTATAATATTTTAAGGGTCAAGTTTAATAAGTTGTGATGAGAAACCTAGAAGTAAAATCATTCCTACCCAGGGCATTAGACAGAGGGATCCACTTTCTCCTTTCCTTTTTATTTTGGACTCTGATTGTCTTAGCTGGTAGTAATAGCATTGCGACTCATCCTATTGCACTGGTAGTAATAGATATTTCTATGATACTTCTCTAGAAAATCTATTTTCTCCTTTATATTTAAATATAATATATTAAATATTAATTTGAATACTTCAAATTTTCAATTAAATTGAACCTTTTAGTATTACTATGAGCTAGCAAGGGGACCTTATTGACCTACAGATTACAAGCTCTAATGATACAAAATTAATTAATTAAACTATTTAATCAATCAATTTTCATTCATTAACTATAGGTCACTAAATTATAGACTTAGAGATGCATTCTGATGCATTGTAGGACAAGTTATGTCTATTGTTATAATCATTACAAACAAGTCAATCATTCACGAGTGTTCATAGTTACAGCTTGGTCAAAAGTCCGTTTGTCTCTGTAATTATATCTTTCATTTTAAGTACCACTAATTCTCTAATGAACAATTTATTTATGATCCAAGATCTTTGAGTTAGCTTTAGTTTTGGTTATAAATTTTAGCAAGAGTTAGATTTTGGGGGGTACGCATCAGCAAGGCCAAAATGGATTGGGACACTGAACTTTGGTTGTAGATGAGGTACATGGCCGTCTACTTATCTTGGTGTTTTTTGGGCGGAAATGCGAAACTCTTCTTTATGGCAGCCTATTATTGAAAAGCATGACTCCATAGTTGGAAATATGCCTTTATTTCCAAAGGCAGAAGACATATCCTTATTCAAGCTATTCTTTCAAGTATGCATACTTATGACCTCTGGTTGTTTAAATTACCAACGAAGGTCGTCAAAACTCTGGATAAACTTATCGAAGTTTTTCTTTGGAAAGGTTCCAACTGGGAGAAAACTCATCTTCCTCAACTCTAGGGAGGTTTGGGTATCGGCGATTTCCAGTTTCAAAATATGACTCTTTTAGCTAAGTGGAATTGGAGATTTTTGCATGAATACGGTGCCCTTTGGCGAAATACTATTGCTGGTAATATTATCAATAAGTGGATAATTAATGGCCAGCAGATATTCAGAGAGCATCTTTTGAACTTCTATTTGCATTTTATTTATTCGACCATTGAACTTGTGACTAACCTTGTTCAACGATGTCTCAAGAATGGGGCTAATACATCTATTGGGCATGATTCCTATCTGAATTGTGGGGTTATTGCTACAACGCCTCCAAGGTTTTTTAGTTGTCTTTTAGCCCCAATATCACAGTTGCAAAGGCTCAAATTAGTTCTCAAGCTGCCACAGGGCTTACATTGGCATCGGAATCTTAATGATTTAGGTGATTGAATGGTTTAGTGTCTCCTATCTTCTTTCACCAGTTATTTTAGGGTCTGCAGATGATTTCTGGATTTGGCCCTTGGATTCCACTAGAGTTTTTACAGACAAATCTTATGACTCATGGCGTGTGATGTGTTTTTCTCACTCAGAGCATCCTTCTTATCGCTTCATCCAATATACCTTTTCTTCTCCCTTTCGGGAACCAATGCTATAAGATTTTGGTTGGTCTATGGTTTTGCCAAACCACATATCAGGTATTCTAGCTTATTTTTGTGGGTCATCCCTTTCATGGTGCGGAAAAGACTTTCTGGTTGGCTATAAACTGGGTGTTCTTCTGGGGTGAAAGGGATACAAGAATTTTCGAGAACGTTTTCTCTACTTATGATAACTTTTTGGATCTGTTTTATTTCATATTTTGTATTGGTTTAAACATTTACATCCATTTAGGGATTATAGTCTATCTTCTTTGATTTCCAATTGGAGCTCTTTATGTAATTCACCTTTTGGTGTTGTAAGCTCCTATTTATTTCATTTATAATGGAGGTTGATTCACTTCTCAAAAAGTAAGTTGCGACTTGTGAGTTCTAGGAAAATTAGAATCATAACAGTAAATAAAATGGATCCTTCCGAATTAAGAAAATGACAGGTATATCAATTGACACGACAAGAAAATTTGTTTTATCATCATTCAACACACTTTTAGGAATCTGTTCATGGACGAATATCAATACACGATGCATTACTGAGATCAGAGACAAACAAATAGAGAAAGTAAGAACATTCTTAACTGATGAGCGAAAAATGAAACTTACCATCAGAACTCCTTAGCCAATCCAAAGCAATTGTTCCACCATCAGGTACACGAAATAACTGTCTGGGGTAAAATCATAGGTCTAATTTTATAAAAATGTAGGAGAAGTGTTTAACAGAAAAAGAAAATTAATTCGCAGACGTAATGGTGGTTCCGGTTATACCACAATGAATAGTGTGAGAACAAGCCAAGATGATCCGATAAGATTATTAGGCGCTTATGAACAAGATTTTATTTATAGTATTGAGAAAACAGAAAATTCGATACTTTCGTTTCCTTTTCCCCATTGAGGACTCTTTTCCATTTATATTCAATCTTCTAGAAAATCAGCACACATGTTAAAAGAAAATAGTGTTCATCTCGTTATCTTGATGTCATTCATAGTCACGTTTTAAGCAGTTGAACGTTAGCTGTCTCGGAAAGTCATTATGACAAATAGGTACCGTACAATCCTTGAAATGACCCTTTGGGTAAGGCCTTGACCAATATCTTTCCCAATTCTTTTTGCTTTCTTTCATCCTTCCTTTATTCATATTCTTCAACTTTTTCTTTTTGTTAAAGCCGAAGAGCATCCAAAATAAATGCGAACGGAGATGAAACGAGGAGTGAAAGCAGACCTTTTATAGGAGACAGGAGGAGAACTCCCAAAAATGCTGAGGAAAATAGTCTGCAAATGAGGACTGCAAAGCCATGGAGTTGAGGAGTACCTGCTCCAAAGCAAATCAATAGCATTAAGTAAAGGAGTTAAGAGGGAGGGATCCAGAGAAGAGGAGCAAGCAATCGTAATGACGAAGGAAGAGAAACCTAAAATGCAAAGAACAACAAGAAAAACCTGCCATGAAGAATCCGGCACTTGGAAACAACGGATTGATAGAAGTCGGGGTCGGATGCAGTGATGCAAACGCGGTCGCCTCGGAAGGCGCGGATGAAGTCGTGAAGAAAATGAATCTCGAAGAAATTGTAGAGGAAGACGAGGAAGATGAGGAGGAGCGCAGCGAGAAGGTGAGAGAGGGGAATGAGAGAGAGAGCTGTGAAGAGAAGTTGATAGGCCGAAAGTGGATTGGAGGTGTCGGAGACGGAGCCGGAGGAATCCATGAGAGGCGGAGGCCTGGAAGATCAATAGACCAGAGATCCATGTTTGCTCCTTGGCTGTGTAATATAAAGGAAGTGAGGGCGGAGGCGGACAAAAGAATTGGCTGAAATTTCCCAGCCGTGGCTGCGTGTGCGTGGTGGATGCTGCACGCAAATGGGAGCTTCCAAATCATATTTAGTTCTCCATTTGAACGCAATTCATAAATTAATAAAAATACTCTTAAACTTACTTTTTATATTAAAAATATTTTTAAATTTTTAAATTTTATAAAATTTCAAGAAAACTTTTAATAAAATCTAAAAATAAAATAAAAAAATTACTTTCTTTCACAATTATTCTTAAACTTTTAACCTACTTTTAATATAATTTTCTATACATTTATGAAAAAGATACAATTTTTTTTCTTTTTTTACCAGAACCATCTATCAACCTTTCATGAATTATCTACCGTTTTAATGTTACGTTCACGAGTATTTTTTAATTGTGGTAATAATGGTAGAGATATTTTTATTTTTTCTTAAACAAGTTTTTTTTAAAATAAGTTTATTAATGAATTTTTTTTATAATTTAAGAAATTTTTTAAATAAAATATTGACAATTCCGAATATTTTTTTAACTTTGTTTTAGTACAATGGATATATTCAAGATTTTTTTTGAAAGGGTAACGATATTATTGGAACTTTTGAAAGTTTTTTAAACCAATAGCAAAATTTAAGAATATTTTTATTAATTTAGCTTATAAAATATTAGAAAGAGAGAAAAAAATATATACGAATATAGATAATGTCAAAATATAAATTATCGATAATTGCATTTAATTTAATTTAAAGATCTAATCTTTTAATAAATAAGTAGGTCTTGGTGAGTTTATGTTTATATATATATATTTTGGTGACACGAGTAAACGATAATAAATCAACTGAAGCACATCTAAATGAGAGCGATTTGAGGAAGTTATTATATGTACGGATAGATGCACATTATTTTTCGATGGCATAATCATAAGAACTCTAAAATTAAACGTTATTTGTAAATAACTCATGTTTCCGTAGAAATAGTTTTCACTCATAGAAATGAGAAGTGAGTAGAGCGATCGTGTAGTTGGAGATGCAAGAGAATGCGGGTTATCAAGTATTGGACATAGGGGTTACATTTTTGGTCCCTTAGTTTTTATTGAACTACTCGGTCTATTAAGATTGTATATTTATGGTTACATTTTGAGTTTAGCTTTTATTTGGTTCATATATTTTAAAATATATTACCATTACCATTAGATTTCGAGTTTGGTCTTTCAAGATATCCTTAGATATTCAATAATGCTCGTGTTTAAATTTATTAACATTAAAAAAATGCTAAATTAATAAAAATATCTTTAAAAGTTTTAGAAATAATTATAGTTTGTTTTTAGATATACCCTTCAAATTTTGTTTTTAAAGTTCAAAACTTTTCTAAACACTTAAAAGAATTTATAATTCTTTTTTAAAGTTAAAAAATATCATTACTGTTTGTGTATAGACAGGACCGTTAGTACCATATTTTAAAAATATCAAATAATTTCAAAAGGAATATAAAAACTAGAGAAATGATTCACGAGGTTTAGACGGTGGGTATTCAATTCATATATTGAGAATAATATTTTTTTTGTACTATATTTTAAAGGTTAAGGATATTAATGCTACTCTTAAAATTTTATGAGTATTAAAATTTTAAAATTTTATTGATGGGCTGTTTTGAGACTCGGATGAAAATCAAAGATATTTTTTAAACAAAATATCAATATAATAACAATATTTTTATTTTTATTTTTTGTTAAAGTTTTAGAGTATTATTGAAACTTGTGATAATTTAATCGTACAAAACAAAATACAAAATTTATGGATAACAATTACGATTATTTTAACTTTTACCTTGTTCCTACTTGAACCCATTGTATTTGAGCGGTTTCACTCTAATAATGCCTCACACCCAAGATTTAGACCAAGATTTTTTACGTCTTCGATTTCCCGCATTTCTCGTGACATGATCAAATTATCTACTTATTTTGAAAGTGCTTCGAAAACTATTCCCATGAACTACGTATAGGATACATCTAACTCAAATGCTCCCTAAGCAGGTCACATAGCATAGAATTACTCAAAATTAAAGAATATTGCTCCACAATAAGCACTTTTAACTTCAAAGTTTTTACGATTGAGCCACTAAAAAGAAAAGTGCATCGAATTGATATAGGTAACAACTCTATATTCTTTTTAAATCTTTTTTAACAACTATATCCTTACGATCAACATCTATCCCGTGTAGTTCATATGAGAGTTTTCCACTAGAGTTATGGATACAAATCGACACAACAACATATCTATAAAAATAGAAATATGGCATCACGTCCACAAAATCATAATCTACTTGGTTAATGCATCAACTTTGATCCATTATCCATATTTTTCACATAAAAATTCAAGCATTTCTGTACATAAAAGTAACATATTTCTATACATTTCGCTTGCATCCCTGTGGGTAGCAGCTTAATGTTAAGATCAGAGCAGCAACAAGTTTGAATGAACTAGAGAGTGAGGTAGAAGAGTACTCCAAAACAGCAAAGGAAAGTAAGTGGGGGTGGACTGTGTGGAGGCAGAGGAGACCACAGCGCATACTTCCAATTATACCTCAGCTGCTTTGTTTTGTACTGAATTATGCACATTATGGATACACAGCCATCCCTCGGAATCTCTGCCTTCCATTTCAACCCATCACTCACCCATCATTAACCCCACAAAAACAAAAAATAAAGGAAGAAAAGAACTCAGCCTGCTTTATTATCACCATGTAATGTAACAATGCGTGTAGTTAGCCTCTTAAGTTCTTATGTACAGTAACTAACTAATACACATACCTTCCTCTTGGCTTCTCCCCCATCAAAATTATCTTCTAAATCCCTTCCTTCCACCAATCAAGCAGGAGCTAAAGATTCCGGCACCCAGCTTATGAATCATAGCTTCACAAATCATGTCTGTCTTGTCTTGATGAGTTAAGAGATAGAATCCCCGGCCGCCTGTCCCTATCATTGTGGATGGGCGTATCCAGGGATTTGCAAAATAGTACAAAACTGTACCTGCCATCCTTTGTTGTTGTCTTGTGTCCCTATCTTCCTCAACCTGATGATATCACAACGAAAACATCATCAAGAGACCATTTTCGCTGCTCGGATTTCTGTGGTGGATTGATTATGGCGTTCTCCGAAGTTCCAGTCCTGTAGCCTATCACTATTTCTCGTCTCTGTCGCCCCCTAATCATTATGTCGTAAAAACAGAGCTCTTCCTTGTCAACTAAATAAAATTCCGCCGGTCGAATACACATTTCATTGCCCTGCAATCACACAGACATCTTCATTCATAATCACCAAAAAAGAAAAGAAAAGAATCTATCTTTGAAATCTAGTAAGCCATCAGAATATTTCACTGAAGTTCCAGGATGCTCATTAAATTAGATAAAACAAATACCTCTTCTGCAAATAGTTCCTCAAGGACACGATTAATCTGCTGGTCTTCCGCCACCATAGCAAGTGCCATACTTACCAATTCATTGGACAACACATAATCACTGATTCTAGAAACTGATACCAGATTTCTGGTCCTTGAATCCAGGATTTCACTAATTATTATTGATCTGTCTGAGGCTTGCTGCATTTCTCGAATCCACGAGTGGTGAGAAAACCCAGCAAGCCGCAAGGATGTTGAAGTTAGCTTTACATCTTTGTTCGGAAGCCTCTTCGACTGCAATATGACAAGGTTGGCAGCCTTTTACCTTATGTATCCCAGGAATTCCAACATATAGTTCCAATTCAACTTAACAGAAACCAACTCATATACCAATACTATTTATTTTGGTATTTCATTGTGTGCTTCAGGAAAAAAGTTTTGGAACGGTGATAATACGTACCTGTATGTCTCGAATAAGGAGAAGAGTGGCAAGAGAACGTGAATCCGAATGCACAACAGAGTCCTCCAAGGATTCATCTGCGAGAATTAGTATCTGTTTCATATAGTGTTAGAATCATTCGTTAAAGTTGAAGAATCTTCTAGCTTTGAAGTGGTCGTAATTAGATCAGAGATTTCAAGATAAACTGTGAATGAAAATGGTAACAGAACTTACAGAATCAAATGTTTCAAGTGGAAGTGATTCTAAATGTCTTCTAATGACAGCATTTCCCTGGCGATGGACAAGTTTGATATTTACTAGACTAGAAATATCAAGTCCACCATCAATAAGCTTTTTCTCTCTCTCTGTTTCAGGAACTTCATTAAACATCCACAGCTCTGAACCAGGAGCGAGGATTGCCTCTAGAACCTGAGATGGGATAAACATATTTGATACGGTAAGACTTCAGTAAGTAATTATTCTATCATAGGCTCACAGTTGAACACACCTATTCTTCAGGATACCAAATCAGAGATGGAAGTTTATAAGCAATATACCATAATCATATCATCTATATCACGGCGCCAACCACAAAACAATATCTTTTCGGGATATTTTGGAGGGTCGATAATCTTTTGGAAGAATGGCCTGCGCACCTGAGGAGTAAGGGCCAAAAAATTTGAGCGTGAAATCTAAGATGACAATCGTGCTGCAAATTATTCAACTAGTTAAGATGGAGACATCAATTTATATTTATTTTAGGTTCAAGCTGATTCTAGTGTGCTCAGTAACAAGTTCACATATCAAGTTAAAAGATTTATTTGTCTGAGCTGAGTATAGCTTGGCAATTAAGACATTTTACTTCTTCTAAGAGGTTGTAGGTTTGAATTGCTACCCCACCCATACATGATATAATATTCTAAAATAAAAAAAGTCATCACTCGAAGTAAGCAATTACCGGACAAGGACCTTTTCAACTATGAGAATAAAAATATGGACTTCCAAAGACCACCAAATGTTTAAATTACAAGAAGTAGAGATTGCATATTTCCAACTTGCAATGAGATTAATTCAGCCATTTCTTGTTGAATAATTACGTATGACAATTAATATCATAATTCCATTTTAAGCACCTCTTGTTTACC